GCTTCTGGAGGACAGACTCCTGGGTACTCTCCAGGGTCTTATGCAATGAGGACAGGATGCCAGGGTATTCTGGCCAGTGTTGGACTCACAGGAGGGCAGAGCAAAATGGCAGGGTCCTTAGAGCTTGGTCCATATAGAAGAATCCTCCCACCTTCTGAGCACTGAATTCTCTGCGTCCATGTTCTGTGGAGGTGGTTCTGGAAACTAGCAGCTTACAACTGCCAGGGAGCTGATGCTCCCTTTCAGCTCCTGTGAAACCCACACATGTGTATATGTACAAACACAGAGTTAAAAATAAACAAAAACTGTCCTAGTGTCGTGGCACTAGGTTATAGGTTTTGCTCTTTGGTGCTCTTTGTCCCTGTGTGTGTGTGTGTGTGTGTGTGTGTGTGTGTGTGTGTGTGTGTGTGCCCTCAGAGGTCAGAAGGGGCTGGAGATCCCCTAAGGATTTATAGGTGATTGTGAATCACTTGTCATGGATGTTGGAACACAAACTTAGGTCTTCTGGAAGAACAGCAAAAGCTCTTAACCACTAAGATGTCTCTTCAGCCCTTGGATTTGTTTATTCTTGACAACTCGTATAAATGAAACCATGTGACCTCTTGTGACTGCATTCTTTCACTTAATTTTTAAAAATTAATTAATTAATTTTGAGTTTTGTGTGTGTGTGTGTGTGTGTGTGTGTGCCTGTCCAACAACTGTGTGTACTTTTAAGCCTTTCTCACCCAGGAGAAAGTTCTCCTCTCTGCTTTGAAATAGCCCCCCAAAATGGAAACAACCTACCCATCCTCCAGTTGGCAAATTAGTAAATAAGATTCAGTAAGTCTACTCAACCGAGTGTCATTACCCAGTCATTAGAAGCAATGGAATGCTGATACATGTCACATGGACTGATCTTAAAAATGCTCTCAAGGGCAGCGAAGATGGTCTAGTGGGTAAGAGTTCTAATCCCCAGCACCATGTAAAAAGCTAGGTATGGTAACATGTGCCTGTAACCCCAGCTCTGTGTGGGTGCAGAGACAGGAGGCTTACTGGACTTAATGGTTGCCAACCTATCTCCAGGTTCAGTAAAAAGACCTTGTCGTATAGCAGAGACTAAACACTTGATGCACTCCTCCTGGCCTCCATTCAGGCATACACATGTATGTACACGACTTACCTGAAGATGATGTGCTTAAGTAAGTTAGGAGAAATATAAGATGTTGGTGTAGGGAGTGGTGCTCAGAAAGGCAAGTCCAGCTCTCAGGCCTCGGAGTGCCTATGTTTTGGATGATGTTGAGCCAAGTCAAAAGCAGAATTCCTACAAGCTAGTTGTAATGAAGCACAATATGGACTGGAGGCAAGCAACTGGACATGGAAGGCCTGGGGATTAGAATGTGTTTCTCTTGACTTTCCTGTTCATGTTACGGAGGGTTTTATGGTGGCTTGTAAGCAGTGTGTGTTCTGTTTAGACACCTGACTACTGGCCTTGATCTCTAGCATTCTTCTTCTTATTTCCACACCTCCACAGCTTGCCAGGCAGGCCTCTCTCTACAGTCTCCGTGAAATCCAAGACCAGAGTTCCTTCTCACAGTGCCAGGGTCCTAGGCCAGAGTGATGTCATACTGGGTACATAGCCCAGCAGCTGCCCTGCTCCTGGCAGTACCCTTCCCACTAGGCTCGTCTTGTTGTGTTTTCTCCTGGGAATGTCATGTGTATTTTATCTCATGCTTCCTCTCCTTTTCACTGTTTTATCAGCTGTGCAATTTAGTTAATGAAGTATGAGAAAATGAGATAGTATTATGGACAAACAGGAGAATAGAGATCTGGGGTTGACAGACAGTATAATTTATTAGGTTTCCTTGGGTCTTTGGGGAAATGGATTTCCGTCATATAAGATTCTGTCAGAATCGTTCGTACACTTCAGAACCAATAGCCTATTGGGTAAAGCAAAAGGGGGGATTCTCGGGACACTGGGTTTTGGTGATCTATCTTCTGAATCTGGGGACACGTCTACCCTACGATGGAGATCAACCCCCATATCTCACATCACAGATGCTGAAATGTCAGTGACTGCATTCTCAGCATCCATTACAGATATGTGTGTGCTGATGACAAATGTCTGTCCCCAAATTCTGACCAGAACTCAGAGGTAACAAAAAGCAGGAGCTGTGACAACTGTTTACAGTAAGAGGGCAGGTTTGGGACAGTTTGCCACATCTACAGTAGGGTCAGCCTGGAGGTGTCTGTGGTCCACACTATACACTGTGCCTAGGGGCAGTGACATGGGCTCCTGGCTCAGGCACAGGTCTGGCATTGTTCCTGGCTACACCACTCTAGAAGTTCCTTCATGGGCACGCCCATTTAGTTGAGGTGGAGGAGAGACAAGTTCCCCATGTGTCTGCCTGGCACAGAATGAGGGGATGCATGCTGAAGTTGCCAGGAATGACCTAATACCCTGCAGACACTGATGGAACTGTGGACATGCTGTGGTCAACTGGCAGTTCTGAAAGATTGGCAAGTGCCAATCAAGTCCTCCTTCCATCAAGGCTGGACATGGAGGCACAATGGCACTTGGGAAGTTGAAGCAGAAGAACTGCAACTCATTCAAACTACATGAAAAACAAAAACAAAACAACGAAAGCAGGGCTGAGAGATGGCTCAGCTATTAAGAGCACTGGCTACTCTTGCAAAGGACCTGGGTTTGATTCTGAGGACCTATATGGCTACTCACAACCATCTATAACTCCAGATTCAAGAGATCTTATGCCCTTTTCTAGTGTCCTTGGGCACCAGGCATTCGTGTGGTACACAAACATACGTGTAGGCAAACATTCACACACATTAGAAAATAAAACTTCAACAAACAAACAAACAAGCAAACAAACAAGCAAGCAATTGAAGGGCTGGGGAGACTTCTCAGTGGAGAAAGCATTGGCCATGCAAATGATTGGAGTTTGGCTCTTCAGGATCTATACAATGTCAGGTTGACATGATGGCCTGCCTATAATTCCAGTGCTGTGAAGGCAAGAGACAAGGGATCCCCAGAGCAAGCTGGCTAGCCAGACTATCTGTCTCGTGGGTTCAAGCGACAGATTCTGTCTCAGTGAATAAGGTGGAGAGTTATTGAGAAAGACTCCGCAGCCAATCTCAAACTCAGGCCTCCACATGCACACATACACAACCATATACACACATACATGCGCATCTGCTCACATGGGTGTGTCCATATATGTGAGAACATGCGTACATAACACACAAATACACATAACAAACAAACAAACAAACAAAACAAACCTCATGTATGCAGGGGCTGCAGGAGTAGCCTTTCATTAACAAAATGGATGGCATTCCAGCTGGGGCAAAAGGTCTAAATTCTCTAGGCCAGAGAGCCCTCCAGCACTGTTGGGTCATCTGTGGGTTCCAGGACAGCTTGGATTCTGACATAGTACCTCTTATGTCTATGGGAGGAAGCTGTCACCTTGCATAGCTCTGGGGGATAGCGTTCATAGTGTTGTCTATGAGCAACAGAGATGGCAAGACTGTGAGGTTGGCCATGGGACCACTTGTCTGGGATAGTCTGTAACTTAGACCAGGCAGTGGTGGAGTGGGAGAGCATGCATCTACACTCCCAGGGAGGGTGAAAGTATGGTCATCTACACTGGAAACTGAACATTATCAGAGAAAACTACACAGAGTGCATGTGTCAAGACCGTAAGCCAACAGAGGCCACCAGGACCCAGGCTAAGAACCCAATCTGCTGTCTACATGTAAGCTCTACTCCCAAGCACTTGTGAAGCCTCTAAGAGTTCTGGTACCCAGAGGTGAGGTGGGGAGAGGAAGGTCAGAGAGAATCTGGGTCTCTGGAGATGACAAGGATAAATAAGAAAAGCCAGAAGGCTGGTTAATTCATATTGAAGCTGTCTCCCAGTTAGACGGTGTAATGGTTTTGACTGTGGCCAGTGTAGAATCACCTGAGGAGTCTCCGTGTGAGGAATTGTCTAGTTTGACCTGTGGGTGGATACGGGGAGATTTTCTTCACTGGGTTGAGGGTCCTGTGTTGAATGAAAAGGAGAGTGCTGGGTGTAGCATACATGCATTTATTGCTCTTTTTTTTCCTGATTACAGATGTAATATGACCAGTACCTGTTGCCCTGACTTCCTAGCAACAAGTTGCGAAACCAAATCAACTTTGTTCCCTATGTTGCTTTTGTCAGGCTATTTTCATCATAGCAACAGGGAAGTAACTAAGACAGATGGGCTGTGGAGATAGAGCCTCTAGAAACAGATCAGATGAGGTTGTAGGGTAGGGCCCTCATGATAGTCTGAGGGGCCTTAAAAGAAAAGGAGAAAACCAAGATGGATTCTTTCTGACAGTTAAGAATGTTATGCTTAGGCTGCCAAGGAACAATCACCCAGCACCTTCATTTTGAACTTCCTAACCTCCAGAAAGAGGTTAGGTCACCCAGCCTTGGTATTTTTGTTACCGCAGCCTGCTTAAGCTAAGACAACTATATATCCATTAAAGAAGCTACTTTAAGTTTTAAAATATTTTTATTTTTGGGCATGGCCATCTAAGTGCCTATAGGAGGCCAGAGTGGTCAGATCCTTCGGATCTGGAGTTAAAGGTTGTAAGACATCCAACATGGATGTTGGGAACAGAACTTGGGCCTGCTCCAAGAGCAGCATGTGTGAGAAGAGGCCATCAGGACTTCTGGAGATAAGTTAAAGGAGATTGCAAGCCACCTGATATGTGGTGGTGACTGAACTGGGTCCTCTGGAAGGGAGCAAGAGGATGTTCAGCAACCCTGCAGGATGAAGGGGGAGGGGACTTTCTGTAAGCTATTGTTTCCACAGCATTAGAATGCATGCAATTATGGACTAAAATTGGCCACCCAACACGAATGCTAAGGCCAAATACTGCATAACCAGCGGGCTGGTGAGATGGATCGACAGCATTTGAGTTGATAGGGGGAGGGGCCGAAATCAGACATACAAATAAAAATGTTGACAGACAATAATAGAGTTGCATAGCCTGAATGCTTTTATATTAACCAAACTGTTTTTCAGTAGAGTCCCCGACAATAAGTCAGAATGAAAAACATTCCAAATTTACAGAAAAACATATTGCTGATTGACTAAGATACTTTACAAAACATGGCTTAGCACAATCCTTTGGTTGCTCCAGTGGTATGAGGATGCTCAAGATAGTGGCATAGCTAGTATCAGTCTCAAGATCACCAGGGCTTTGCCATCTTTAATAGGTCTACTCTAGGATGACAGGCAAGAACCAAGAGGGTGGCAATCTTTATCTTCGTAATTCCACAGTGACAAGGGCTGAGACAACCTCTTGGGGACAAGTCACAGAAATGGAGTATGCTCTTCAGATTTGGTTACAGTTAAATTGCTTCCCTGAAATCTAACTGTGAGCTCATCTACTCCACCTGATCATCAGTCCCTTTCAACAAAAGCAAACACACAAACACACAACTAAGGGCTGAGGGTAAAGCATCTCCATAAGCCTAGGACTGGACTAGGTCATGGCTCTTACAGTTTTTCCCTGTGTATAATGTCTTGGTTGCCTTGGGAGGATGAAGAGGCCACTTACTGCCCCCAAATGAAAAAGTTTAAGGATGGGGGTGGGAGTGGATCAATCAGGAACACAGCTGTGAGAGACTCTACACTGGTCTCAAAGCTTATTTAGATAACAATGACCGTGGGAGGAAGCTAAAAATACGGCTACAAGTTTGAGATCCATCTATCCTGTCTCCCTACCCCTAAACAAACTTAATTTTTTTCACCATGTGTGGGTTCTTGAGTGATGTTAACAGGGGACCCATCTGGATGAAGGCAGCAGATTGGGGTGTCTACTCTGATCTTCTGGAAGGTGCTAGAATGTAGGCTATAAATATCTTCTTCATTCATATCCAGCCAAATTTCCCAGGCAAAATATTTAGCCTGATTCTGATGCAGTTCTTAGGATGAAACATGGTTTCTTAAGAGCAACCGTGGGAGTGTGGGATGCAGGGAAACAGGAGCTCAGAGCTTTGGTTTGTAATTGGTGATGTTGTCTCTGTTTACTCGGGTGTTCTGCTCCTTGAGATTATCTTCTTGTCATCCTTCCCAGGATTCCATGGACTTTGCTGCTGGCAACATCTGTTGTGTCTGAACTGCTGGCCCCACACAATGGCAGAGAGGCCAGCTGCAGCCTTTTCAAGCTTCACGGAATATTATGTAAGTGTAACAGCAGCATTTTCATGACCACACTCAACAGCTTGTTTTTAGAAAATAATAAAACAATCTCCAAGGACATTTAGACATTGAAAGTGCTTTGCACACAAGGTGGTGACAAACATTTCGACAAAACGATAATTTGCAAAGCAGCCTGATACCCCTGAAATGCACCCAATGTTCTTTGCTACTCCTCTTTTTGGTTCTTTGTGGAGGGCGTTCTCAGAATCCAGGTTGAATAAAGGTACCAGTCCTCCATCTTCTGGGCTTTTGCCCTCTGGGACACTAGGCTAGGAAAACCCAGTGGGCTCCATATTTTTGGTGCAATTTGGGGCCAACCACAAAGAAGTCAACCTCCCTAGGTCTTCGGTAGCTTTGGTTTACATATTCTAGTGGTGGGAAATTCACTTCTATAGAATGATCTCATTTTGCTTTCAAGTTCCAACTGTTGTTTCTCTTTATTTTATACAGAAAGAAATACAGTCACAGATCCCAGGTTCCTAGGCTGAGGGCTACTTGGTATTGAGTGGTCTGGAGAACCATTTTAGTTTTTCATTACACAGGGCACTGGGCATTGTACTCTCCCATTCACATCATTGAGCAGTAAGATGTGTGTGGGTAAAAGATGGGCAGGAGGGAAATGGATGGATATGCTGAACCTACAGATAAAGATTGCTGGGAAACCTGGGCTCTTCTGCACAAGTCCTTACCCATCTTGTAATTAGGAAATGCTTTAACTGCTTCAGTGCCTGCTAAGTATTGATGTAGCTTCACCTACTTACATGACAACACGGAGTGCCCTTCTCCCATAAGCACCACTAAGAAACCTGCTAACACTTTTCTAGATACACAAAAACTGCTATTTAAAAATACCACCTTAAAGCATTCATGTAATTTATTTTTCCTTAAATAATAATTCGCTACAATCCTGCCACAAATTAAAAAAAATTTTTTTTCCCCATGGTATTCACAGAGCAGAATTCTTGAGGACAATCAAAATCCCAGAGTACTTTGAATAAATTAACATCAAATTGTGTGTATATCTAGATAGTCTGATTCTCGCCTCTGAAATGAAATGGAGACCACTGTAACCAAGGGTGAATGCACACATCTGTCCTGTACAGAGGCTCATTCTTTACATAAACTCAACAGTAATTTGAATCAAGTTAGGAATCCTGAGAGAGTCACCCATCACACACACACACACACACACACACACACACACACACACACACACACACAGGACACCTTCGAGAAGCGGTGTTTCTTATGGTCACTTACTAGAAGGTCTTTTCTCAGAAGGGTTCAAAATTCTGAATATTTGGATGCTACCACATGATACCCCCCCCCCCAACCCACAGGAAAATTGTCTTGTTTCAAGTGTGAGAGCTTGAAGTAGCAGCAATCCACATAGAGATTCAGTAGTCGGTGATTCCAGTCATGGTGGCTGAGTATACAGTAAGGGGTGAGCAGAGGCTCGGCTGCTTCTAAAGCTAAGACTCAGCATTACGCAGCGTGGAGTCTGGTTCCCAGCCTCAGCTGAGAAGTCACCTGAACATACATTATGAAACAGGTTCAGGCACTGGCTGTGATCCTGAAGAGAGGAACTCGGGGGTGGGGAAGTGGGTGCTTTGGAACACGAGTGCAGAAGGGATGGAGTAGAGGCAGAGGGAGGGAGGGCAGAATAGACCCTGTTCATCCTCCAGCCTGAAGTCCCTTGTGCCCTGCCTGCGGTACATTCATCTGAGTTTTCCCTGGCGTCAGGGGAAATGGATATCAATTGCCAAGGAAGTTCAGCCCTTGGAGTCAGTCCCGCACAGATCAACACACAAAACACCTGAGCAACCACAAGTAGCCACACTGTCTGGCTTCTGGAGGGAGGAGTGTCAACAGTGCAGCTGGCATCCCCTTCTCATTGCCGGAAGATGGCTGACGGGGTGGCGATACTGAGGGAGAAACACAGTTCCCAGTTGGAGATCCCTGTTGCTTATCTCTCTGGGCCCAAAGACGTCATAGCGGCATGCATATCTACATCAGCAGTTCCTATGTACAGGATACCTTTTCCACAGAAATTTAAATTTAAAGTGCCTAGGTTCAAATAAGCTCATCCCTTCCCACAGTGACCAGCATCTCTGGGGGCCTTCAGGGGAATGAGGAATGAACGCTTCACAGTTGTCCTAACTGGGATCCAGCTTCTGGATTAAGCCTTCCTCATACACTCGAAGAATCGCTTCACATACAAACTTGTATTGGCTCTGGAAGAGAAAAGAAAGCTGTCAAGTCCAGAGCATCAGAAGTGTTGCCTCACACCATGCTTGAGAGTGTCTCTGGGACATTTATATTCTCTCCACGTGTGCTAACTCTGTCTGGGCCTTGTGCTGGGGAAGAGTGAGGTGAACTCAAATCTTCAGACTGGGAGGGGGCCTGCCCTCAGAGAAGTGTGGGCGGAGGAAAGCGGTGAAGTATGGGAGTTAAGTACTAGCATTCATCTTTCTCTGATTACTAAATACAGCTTCTATAGTTCCTGTTGCCATGCCTTCCTTAGCATGATAGACTGTCCCTCAAGTTATGAGCACAAATAAACCCTTCCTCTCATGCTTGTTAGGCGCTTGGCCACAGTAACAAGAAAAGTAACTAATATAAGGATGACACTGATGTGGAAACTCTGTGACAAGAAAAGTCTGTTCTGAGAAGTGTACAAGAGGACCCCGCTGTCCTGGCCTGGAATACACGGGCATGTCTAGGGGTTGGGAGGTGGGTGATGGAGGATAGGAACACAGGTAGGCTGGGATTGGGTGTGGGACAAGGAATCTAGATTCCTTTTTTCTTAAGAGAGTTAGGGAAAGATGCTGATTATGAGACAGACCTTCAGTAACCATGGAGGATTGATTTTAGAAGTCCCTATGGACACCCAAACCCTCAGGCACTCCAATCTTTTCTATAAAATAGTACAGTATTTGTGTATAGCCTATGAGCAACCTCCACATACCATCCTTTTTGGCAGGACACGGTGGTACACCCATTGGGCGGGAGAGGCAGGTGGATCTCTGAGTTCTAGGCCAATAGTTTACATAGTGAGTCTGAAACAGCCCCTACTCAAATACCACCAAAACCCCAAAGCAAAGCAAACATTACCTCTTGATATTTCTAATATCTAATACAGTGGGAACAGCTGTACTGTACTTTATGGGGAATAAAACAGAAAAGAGTCTTTATATGTTCATGCAGAAACATTTTCTTTGCTATCTTTTTAGCTGTGACCACTTGAATCCTTGTATGTGGAGCCCCAGATACAGAAAGCTGACAAGGTCTTGCTAAGTTGTCCAGGTAGGTCTTAAGATTATAACCTTGGGCCACCACCTTTGGACTAGCTGGGATTAGAGCGTCTTCTACCACCAGGCCTAGCTGGGGTGTGCTATGATTTGAACCACCATTTATTTATTCTTCCAAACAGGGCAAACAATGACCTTAAGTAGATGATTCTTTTTTTTTTTCCCTTAGTTATTTATTTATGGCAAAGGGAGGACAGCTTGCCTTTCAGGAGATGCCACTCAGCTTGGTATCCTTACCTACTAAGATATCTCTACGGCTGAGCTGGTTTCTCTCAACTGTATTTCCCAGGTATAAACTAAGGACTCACAATCTTTTAGGGAAATTTTATGTCTTTCCAGCAGCCCGTGACTGCTCTTAGTTGGTTAGAACAGAGTTCCTGCTCCTTGCTTCCTAACCAAGCCTTCTCAACCACCTTGCAAGTTTTGTCAGGAGGCTACTTCCCTGTCTTTGACAAGTTATTCTTAATATTCTTCTAGAACATTCTTGGATACCCCTGGAGCTTTGCCCATCATGGCTGAGATTAAAAACCAGTTCTACTTAGCCCAAGCTTGGGTGTCTTCTATTTGGACAACACTGTCTGGTGAATGAATGACCAAAGGCAGGATAGCTTCCATCTGCAAAAGGGGGAAACTGAGGCCTACAGAAGGGTTCAGGGTTACCCAAAGCTTGTAAGTGTGTGAGGAGGAGGCCCAAATCATGCTCTTTTTACAATAACCATACCCTGCTCTTCTTGCAACTCAAAATGACAAGCAGATATTTTCTCCCGAGGACACCTGTCATATCAAGCGCCCTGGCATGATACAGTAGGAGACAGCTCATGGTGAGGGGACCCGAGTAACTGTTTTCCTCTGATGGGTGATGACGGGATGCAAACAGGGCTGCTCTTGGGCTGAGTGACAAATAGGATATGCCGGAGATAAACAGAATGCATGCAAATGGGTCTGTGCTTTGTAGTCACTGTGCCTCTGACACGCTGTGACTCTAGGCACTGACTCAGTCCCCTTGAACCTCATTCTATTCACGATGACCCTGGCTATGGACACTCCTGTGTGAGCTCAGGAAATATGGATCTCTGCCTTTTTGTCACTGTTGTTGTTTAGACAGGGTCTCAGTATGCAGCCCTGGCCGGCCTGGAATGCTTTATATAGACCAAGCTGGCCTCAAATTCAGAGATCCACCTGCCGCTGTCTTCTGTGTTGGGAATAAAGGCAATCGCCACTATACCTAGCCAACATCTACCACTGTTTTCCTTACTACTTTTTCTTTTTCTTTTTTTTTTTTTAATTACTGAGTTTCTACTTACTGATGTCTGCACCATCATGGCCCGCTGGTCTCTCATTTTTCGGACAATGTCTAGTGGATAAACGGGCAGGTTCCTCTCAATTAAGCACATGGCTGTTTCCATAGTGACCAACACGCCTGTCCGCCCTATTCCAGCACTGGGGAGGAGACAGAGACAGAGACTCAGGATGGGCATCATTTCTGTAGGGCTGAGCTGAACCCCTGCCCCCCTCACCATGGCCTGCCCCAGGGTGAGTCCTAATGCTGATTTCAAGAACAGAAAGCACACATTCAGGTGTGATCTTAAGCTTGTCAAAAGAAAAAGCCCATCCCCACAGGTCCTAAGACTGGGACTCAACAAGAAACCCATCCACGAAACCCAAAACTCCACTCCTTCTGAGTCATGCCTGCTGTTGAAGTCAGAAACCTCAGGACAAGGAGGTGGGGTTTTCCTTTTCAGCATCCAGCTGCACTTGCATGATTATGACTTCGTTACATTTCAAAGCATTTAGAAATTGTTAGGAAATGAGCATAGTTTTACAGGATCATTTGACTTTGTGGGATAAGGGTGGGTTTGTTGTCTGCCTATTTCTCCTGGCCTTTCCCAAGGGGTAGAAGAACAATTTAGAACAGAATGCAGTAAGGCTCAGTACCTGCAGTGAACTAGGGCAGGCTCACCGTCTACCCTCAGGGACCTCACGTACTTCACAAACTCCAAGAAGTCTGAGGAGTCATCAGGCACGCCGTGGTCAGGCCACGCAACGTACTGGAGATGGGTCACTGTGTGCTCTTCCCCAGTCTGTGGAAGATGTGGCCTTGGTGAGTCATCAAAGCAATGAGCCCTGCCCTGGACACCAGCCAGGGTGGCCTTAGCCTCAGTGTCCTCTTGTGCCTCTGTGCTCAGCCCTGCTATGGTCTCAGTCAATTCCCATCAAGCTCCCACTTTCCCAAAACACCACTCTTGTCCCCAAGACACTGCTCTCTTGACCTCTTGTGCCTCCAGGCATTTCCCCCACCTGCTCCTATGCATCCTGCAGCCAGGGTCATCCACGCTGCCTCTGTATAGTGTACATACTTTAGTCTGGTGTTGAGGCCTTCTTGCTCATGACCATCAGGGGCCCCCTACTATCATGTGGCTAAACACACCTTCCATTGCTGACTTCTACCCTCAGTACACATATAACACAGTGAAGCTTAACTAATTTTAGAGGTAAGGTCTACTGGCATTAAGCATGGTTACAATGCTGGGCAACCATTACTTCTATCTCCTTCCAGAACTTTCATTTCTACCACCCAAATACGACCTCTATAGCCATTACAATGTAACTCCCCATTTTCTTCCCCCCGCTTTTTTATTTTTATTTATTTATTTATTTTTTTTTTTGTTTTTCGAGACAGGGTTTGTCTGTGGATTTGGAGCCTGTCCTGGAACTAGTTCTGTAGACCAGGCTGGTCTTAAACTCACAGAGATCCTCCTGCCTCTGACCCCTGAGTGCTGGAATTAAAGGCGTGCGCCACCAAGCCCGGCCCTTCCCCTTCTTCTAACCAGGGCAAATACCATTCTTCTCCCCATGCCTGTGAGTTTAGTATTTTAGGTATCCAGATACATGTAATCTTAGCACTTACCCTCTTGACTGGCCTCTTTCATTTAGTATGTCTTTCAGACTCATCCCACAGAAGCATTTGCCCAAAATGCCCTCCTTTTTTGAGGTTGAATACTACTACACAGCTAGGCCTAGTTCATTTATCCACAAATCTGATGGGCAGAGCCCAGGGCCGCCTCTCGCTCTTGGCTACTGTGAATGGCACAGATATGCACGTGGGGCACTGGCAGGTGACATGGCAGCAGAGCTGGACACGAAAGCCCACAGGGGCTACTGACTGTGCCCGCCCCACCACCATGCGCCTCCCAGCCCTGCTCACCTCAGTGTTTGTAACTAGCATTTCTCGGGACACATAAGCGATGGTACAGTCCTCTGCCTGACATTGGATGTGAAAGACGCCGTGGTCCATGACGTCAGGGGGATCCGGCCAGTACTGGTGACACTTGGTCTGTAACAAGCCAGAGAACACAAGTCAGGCTTTTCTGTAGGGCATAACCAGGGCAGTCAACTACACGGCATCCAGTCACATCTGTTCAAGTTGAAGTGACAGGAGATGAGAAACTCAGATGAGACCCACTTGTGCCCACGGCCTGAAAAAGGGAGTCAATTTACCTTCTAGGGTTTGTTTACTGGGAGAGCAGTAGGGCCTGGGTTTATAAGGTGGTGAGTCAGCCTACCAGAAGCCAGTCCGCCCTGGCTGGAGCCTGAAGGGAGTCAACTTCCCCTCTATGGTTTGTTCACTGGGAGAGCAATAGGGCCTGGGTTTCAGGGCTACCTACACTCTGCCCAGGCTGACCCTCAGGGCTCTTCATCTGCCACCCCACCTCACAGGCGCCTTGGGACACAGCAGTTAAGAGCTCACTGGGCATTGGATAGGGACCTAAGGGAAGAATTTCCTCTCGTTGGTCATCTGACTTCCAACAGTCAAACTCCTTGAATCTCAGGTTTTCACAAACTGACAGAGGCAGGAGAGGCGGCAGTGTGGAGTCCCTTGTGGGTGAGGTCAAATGTGATTAACAATACCATCGTCATAAAAGCTATAGTAACTGAGTTAGGGCGGTCAGGTTCCTCAAAAGTCCTCATTTAAAAAGCCTGCAAGCAGAGACAACTCTTCATGTCAACAGTGCCTCCTACAACCTCAAATGCCTTCACAGGAAATAGGGTCTGGGACCACAGAGGGTACAGACTTTGCACCTGCCTCTCTGAGGGCGGTGAATGGCTCAGCAGGTAAAAGCACTTGCTGGGTAAGCTTGGTAGTGAATTCAATCCCCCAAATCCACAGAAGGAGAGAGCTGATCCATAAATGCTTATTTCCACATGTGTGCTCTGAACACACACACACACACACACACACACACACACACACACACACATACTGATAATAAATAAAAATGAAAGTTGTAAAATATTTTTTTAAAGGTGAGTTGGGCCAGAGGTTAAGAGAAATGTCTGTTTCTCCAGAGGACCAGGGTTCAATTCCCACTATCCATATGACAGCTCACAACCATCTGTAGTTCTAGTCCCAGGGGATCTGATCCCTTCTTGTGGCCTCTATGGTCACCAGGTACATACTGGTACACAGACATACATGCAGGCAAAGCAATCATATACACAAAATAAAATGAAAACAATAAAAAATAAAATTCCCAAGGGAGCCAAGACTTCCCATACAGCAAAGGAGAAATCCAGAGTACTGTACACACTAAGTGACTTGCCATGGCCAGGAAACTGTTGTGACAGAGTGTAGCATTCATTCTACGGTTTGTTACAGTGTCTCCCAATAGAGCAGCTGTGGCTTGCTAATGTAACCACCTTTCCATGGTCTATTTTCCCTTCCAAACCCTGCAGCCTCTTCCATAAGCCATTGTAGTTCCCAGCTCTGGTTTCTGTATCAAGTGCAAGTCTAAGCTGTGCATAGTTACTCTGCCAAGCTTTGACTCATTTAACAATTATTATTATAGATTTCTGTGTTGGTCTAGCTACTCAAGCCATCTTCTTGCCTTGGCCTACTGAGAGCTTGCCTTGTAGGCATACACAGCTTAAAGAGAAAAAAAAAAATCTTTCTCAAATCTAGACTGGTACCGGTGTAAGTAAAAATGGCATTTGTTTATAGCAGAAAGGTGGTATAACTAACAGACACACAGAACTTGTCGGGAAACAGCTCTCCTCGCCTTTTTCTCAAATGTCACAGTGAATATCCGAAATTAAAAGTATGCTGTGGAGGCTGGAGTTTATTGAAACAGTTTGGATAGTTACTCTCTGCCTCTCCAAGATTCAGAGCGCTCGCTGTCAGCAGGACCAGAGGCAGGGCTGCCAGGCAAAGGCTGTACTCCTGTCTGTCTGTCCATCTGAACCCGTGTCAATCTCATCTATACAGAAGAAAATTGCCCCACGGGCTCCTGCCCTAGGATAGCTGGGGGACGATCCTCTCCAAAGTGGAACACACTGTACAAGGGGTTACAGACCTGCACTTTCCAGTAGTACCTTTATCCACATGGATCTGCAGGGAACTGGACTCATTTTAGGTCTATCTGGATCTGGATGCACTAGGGCCTTGCTCTCCATCCTGTTCACGTGTGCTAGAACCCAGTGAACCTGTCTCTCATGCCTGCTGGGGGAGGGGTATAGAAGCCCCACATCTTTGGATAGTATCTGTTAAGCCCCAGGAGGTGCTTTTATGGATGCTGTTTATACTGGCCTCAGGACCACTCTCTGAGGTACGAACAGTGGCTATGAATGGATTGACCGAGGCTTAGAAGACCTCACCCCATGTCAGGTCACAAGAACTACGGGACAGAGCCTGAATTTCATCACAGGTTCGTACCCTCTGAAAGTACAAGGCTGTGAGGACAAGAGGAAAAGAAAGAGGCCTGGCACCACCAAGAAGCAGGTTGTAGAAGAACAACAGACCCTGCAGCTGGTTGGTAGGCCATAGCTACTGGCAGATGTTGCCCGGACTCGGAATACTGTCTCCACAAGGCATTGTAGGCCCACGAGACTGCTCTCGACTTCTGGTCCTAGCCATGCAGAAACTCTGAGAAGAGGACTTGGGAAGAAAAAGTAACACTGAAACAGCTTTGGAAAGGAAGCGCTTTAGGGTTCCAGAGGAACAGGCAGAAGGCTGGGTTCCTGGCAGAGGAAGAATGTCTCAGGAAGATGGGCCAGATGGGGTTTGTGGGAGAGCCGTGGGCTCAATTAAGAAGGCTGTATCATCATCTCTTGTTTTTTTTTTTTTTTTTTTTTTTTGCTAACTTAGTTGGTCAACAAGCATCCTTGGGGGTGGGTTTGATGAATAAGAGATGCTCTGGCATTATCCTCTGGGTGCTCTCCAATCTAGTCAGTCACACAGGAAGAAAGGACAGACACAGGTTGGGGCAGATCAGGTAGGAGTTGTCACTGAACAGAGTAGACATGGAGCTCTGGACTACAGGCCTACAAGGATGAGGCAAGGGCAGATCTTTTAGGCCAAAGGGAAAGGAGACAGAATGTAAAGGGTCACCTGGGCATCCAGGGGACAACAGAGCTGCACAAAGGGTTCAAGTTGGTCTGGAGTCAGGCAACATTTTGCTCTGTGTATTTAGGGCCACTCCAGGGGATGGGCAGGAAATGCTGGCTCAGACCTTCTGGCAAGGCCCAGCTGAAGGTAAAGTGGATGGGACTAGCCTATGGAAATTCTGGGCCAGCGAGCTGTTACTTCTGCTGTGGGAGAGAAATGGGAAGTTTGAGAGGGTGCTGATGGCATTAAGCAATGGTGAGTGGATGAAGTAAAGACCTGAGAGCTGAGACCTGCTTCAGGTGGCTAGTATTGGTGGCTAAGTTAAGTAACCCAGCCTCTGGCTCCGATGGTAGGCTCAGGTGATGGGCTCCATGTATACACATGAGTGGCTAGTTGGTGGCTTGGGGATCTTACATAATGGCAGTAGGAAGATGTGTCCAACCAGAGAGTAAGCAGTTAGCCTGAAGGTTCGAAAGACGGAAGGTTTGTAAGGCTACATGAGGACATGAAGGGGCTAGCCACACTCAGAAACCAGGTCTACGGGGAGGAGCCATCTACCCTCTAAGTGCACAGTATCAAGCATATACACAGAACAAGGGAGTTGCAAGAGGGAGGTCCATGTCACCCCAAACCTCTTCTTGTCAACCTCCTGACACTCATGGGCTTTACTGCTACTCAGAGCAAATCCACTGCCTCGGGTCCAGTGAGACAATGGAAACTACGGCTTAGCCATTCTCAACACTCAGAACCATTCAGGAGGTAGGCATTGTCCTTTGTTATGACGTGGAAATTGGAACCTTACAGCCTATTCAGTGCTTTCAGAGATGGCTGGGACAGGAAAGATTAGCCACATTATTCATATTTCGACATAAACTATATATAGCCCCTCTTCCCAGGAGGAAAAAAAAAAAAAAAACATCCGATGGAAGGCCAGGGATATTGTTTCCCCTAAGCCTCAATAGAGAACCTATCCAAAAGCACCCTCAGTAGAAGTGAACAAGGACAGAGGTCAGTGGCCCTGCAGGCTGCAAGCTTTCTGAGCGCAGGTGATGAGGCGCTGCAGGTAGCTCCCTGAACAAAGAGACTGCATGGACTCGGTGCAGTACAGGAAGGGCATGGGACTCTAGGGCATGCCTGTGGGGAGACCCACTTTCCTACAGCCATGAGCAACATAGGGAGAACAAACAGGATGCGCTAGAAAGTTCATCTTACAGCAAAAGAGGGGCACAGCCATTCACCTGGAATGGCTGATTCAGAAGTGGTGATCGGCTGGGTCTGGAGGACAAAGGGTGCAGGTCACCTGAGAATCTGTAACAGGAGAGGGAAGCAGGCACTTTACACTTTGAAAGAACAGGTTTTCAACTATTGATGAGTGACAAAGTTGCCAGGGCCAGAGATGCTCAAGGGATGGGTAGGCCTCCTGGGACTCTCTAACACATGGAAACAGGGTGGTGAGTTACACTGAGAAGAAAAGGTTGGGAAACACGCTGGGTCACAAGGAGACCTCAGATGACAGGAAAGGGCAGCTGCAGCTTGGAGCTGGAGGGTCGAGTCCTGGAAGAGCGGGCGGATGGCGGTAAGGTTTCTCGGATCATAGGAAATATCTTTTTTCCTGAGCTGGAACAAGCAGATGAAGGGAAGGAGGAGCTGCCACCAGGGCTGATCATCTGTCACCTATCATTCCTTTAGGGGCTCCCAGTTCTGAGGAGAAGAATGACTGTCTATCTGCAAAGGCAAGCGTGAGCTCTCAAACAGCAAGAAGCCTGACACCAGCAAGCCAGCATCAGTGCTGAGTCACTGGGCAGGTTAGCTTTGAGGAACAACATCGTGAACTCAGAGACCTCAGAGTGTCGGCTCTGAAAACTGCTCCTGAGGAGACGTGCAGTCTGGGCACCCAAAGTACCAGAATATAAGGACAAATGAAGGCAGGCAGAACACAGGCTATTTGCTATCAAAAACAGTAGAATTGGAGGCTGCCAGGTATGGAGGCAGATTCTCGATTGTGGGAGTCAAGTGACTCACTGTGCCAGCAAGAAAGCCTCTGCCTGGGTCTAGGACCCCTGGAGCATTCTATCCCTAACACTTCTTCACTTTTTTCATGATACATAATAGAAAATGAGTAAGTGTTGTTGGCCTCAGCTACAGGGCTTGTGAGAGAAGAACACTTGGACTTAGTGCTTTATATTTGTTTTGACTGTTTGTTTTGAGATAAGGTCTCAGTGCAGCCAAAGTTGGCCTTGAACTCACAATCCTTGTGTGTCTGCCTCTTGAGTGCTGGATTACAGGTGTTTGCTACAATGCTTGGCTTCGTTGAACACTTTCTGAAAATTTTACCTATACTTTTACTTTTGGCAAATGATACTGGATTTATATTTAATAAACATATTTGAAAGGCTATTAGAGCAAACAACAAAAATAAGTTTGTTTAAAGAAGTAAAACTACAAAACAAATACAATGCAATTAAGGTAAATACAAATGGATGTTATTGCTATTGCTGGCTAACACGTGTATAGCATTAACGGTGGTCACTTGGTAATGCAGCACATGTGTTCCCTCTTGGCACATGGGAGGGCTGAGACAGGAGGAATATCACCAGCTTGCTATATAGAGTAAAATCTATTCCCCCCAAACAAAACAAAAACCACAAAAATAATAACACAAAAATGACCATGCACCAAGCACTCTTTGGAGAGGCTTCCTGTAGCAACAAGCTCAGTTCCCCACAACCACACTAAAATGGGTGATAGTGTTGCATGATTCCTTAATCACACAGGTGGGAAGCAATACCAGGAATTAACCCTGACCGGCTTGAGGGTCTGCTTTCCTACCTGCTGTGCCCCATAACCAGAGAGATGCCACTGTGCCCCATAACCAGACAGACGCACTGTGCCCCATAACCAGACAGACACACTGTGCCCCATAACCAGACAGACCCACTGTGCCACATAATCAGATAGGGAGCAGCAGCACTGTGAGCTAGCTCAAGGAGCTGGGAATCTCTAAGTTCAAAAAAAGGCCAAGAAACTCCATCCCGTATGAAAACAAAAGCAGATAAGAACAAGGCTCTCATCAGTGAGCCGGACAGCATGGTGATTTCACAGTTTCTCACAGTAACGGGGCAGGCAAGATGGGAAACCGGAGGCAGGAAGAGTTGCCAGGATTAGCAACTACTCCCAAATGAGTCCTTAGTGCCTCTGAGGAACAGTATTCAGGATGAAGTTTCTACCACCCCAGGGGACATCACACTTTTTTATTCTGATTACAAAATGAGAGAGATTCTGGCCAATCCACGAGTGACACAAAGGTCAGGATCAAGGCTAGAAGAGGTAAGTCCACACGATGATGATGATGATTATGATGATGACGTCTGCTGAACACTGGAAGCACACAGTTCTCTGATCTCTTTATATACACTGCCCAGTCTTTCCCAGTGCCCCAAGGTGGTGGGTACTATTTCTGTCTCCACTGTACACTGAGGAAAGCCAAGGCTAATAACTTCATCAGGAATAACTGTTTTCAACCCAGTCTGAACTAGTGCTGGGTAAAGATGTCAAGAGTCAAGGGTGTGCAAATTGCCTTTGCAGACTACAATCTTACTGTGTGAGGTGAGACATAGTTCCCAAATGAGCAAAGCCACACATGGCACAGGGGTCCCGGGGCAGGTGAGGTGGGGAGAAGTACTGCTTTCTAGCTTGTCTTTTTAAAATGTGTTTTTTTTAGATATACTATCTTATGTATATTAGTGTTTGGCCTGCATATACGTCTGTGTAACATCTATGTGCTAGTGTCCATAGAGATCAGAAGAGGGTATTGGAGCCCCTGGAAATGGAGTTACATATGGCGATGAGCTGTCATGTGAGTGCTGGGAATTGAACCCAGGTCCTCAGGAAGAGTACCCAGTGCTCTTTTATGTGCTTTGGCGTTTTGCCTGTGTAAGGGTGTCCAGTGCCCTGGAACTGGAGTTAACAGACAGTTGAGAGCTCCTATGTGGGTGCTGGGAATTGAACCTGGGTCCTCTGGTTCCTCTGGGCCACCTCTCCAGCCCCACTTCTAGCTTGCTTTAATAGATCCACATGAGGAAACGGGCAAGAGGAGGCCGCATTTCTCATCCCTGCAGGTGTTCATTTGGAGAGTTACAGGTCACTCGGAGTCCCTTTCCAGCCCTGACACTCATGTTCTACAAAGCACAATCTACACACATTTGAACTGGAAATCAAGTCACTTACCCGGCCTCGCTCTGTGAGAGTTGTCAGCATAACCACAAGAGACAACTTCTGATCCCAGACAACTTGCCAAAACTGTGCACAGGTGTGTGGCAGGGGTCCCTGAGCCGCAATGTACTTGTTCACAAGGTTAGCTGCCGGAATCTCCATCTATTGTGAGATCCATAAGGCGTTATAGATTACAGCGGTTATACATTGTAGCACACACAGAGTAAGCAGAACTCTCCATTTTATACTTTTCTAACAGCTAGCTGAATCACCCCAGAAAAAGATCTTATCCACTCACAGCTAGAAAAAAAAATTTGCAGCACAAAGCTGTCTTCAGATTTGACAATAATGTGAAGAGAATAGTGGAACCCTGATTAAACCGGTTCTTACAGGAACAGTTCTGCAAGGTCACACTTTTGCCGATGATGGCCCCAGGCACCAATATTGCCACCTGGTTACTTAAAAGTGGTTTTCAAAGTGGTCCACTACAGAAAAAAAAAAAAAAAAAAAAAAAAAAGCTTGTTGACTATGCCTTTAAACTGAGAAATCTACATTCAGGTAAGTTGCCCAGGATGGGTATGTGAGTGTGTCCCCATGACAGGCAAACCTTTTCCTTTTTTCTCTTATACATATGTATGTATGTATGTGTGTGTGTGTGTGTGTGTGTGTGTGTGTGTGTATATATATATATATATATATATATATATATATATATATATTACGTTTCTTTAACTTGTAGGCAGGGTGAGACTAATAGTACTCGGGCAAACACAGAAAGTTAAACATACCATCAGCAGAAATAAACATAAAAATGGCAATGGCCCAGTACTTTGGCAGATGGATGTTGGAATTAGAGCATGTTTGGATCCATCTCTCAAAGTTTTGTGGCTTTTCAGGTTATTCGGTAATTATTCAGTGACTTTGCTCCCTGTAAAGAGAGGCCTCTCACTTCTTCACAAAGCCACTGTTCTAGAATGATGGAGTGAATGATAGTGTGCTTTGTTCCGGGCAAAGTCCCCCATTCTGTCCCCACTGTCAAGACTAGGATCAGCGTGTACTTTTTTTATCCCCCACATTCCCAGCTTACGTCCACATAACTCGCGTTAATATAATCTTCGTCTCCCTGCAATAATACCCGGGTGGTGTCATCTGCCGGAGAAAGAAAAGTTTATCCATTATTTCAAGTGTTATTTTTATCATCCGGAGTAAACAAGGGTTCAGTTCCCAGCCCCACCTGCAGCTCTCTCCTCATTAGCATAAACACTATTCCCCAACTGTTCTGAGTCTGAGATGGCTGCAATAAAGACAGTGGTGTCTACAGACACACTGAAAACCAGTCCAGAATCCCAGACAATATGTTTTAAAAAGGGAAGCATTGTCTCATGAAGGGGGAAGGAGGCATTGGGCTGGATACTCACAAGGCAGCACATCTTTGTATCGGTTTTTATCCAAATTCTGAGGCAGCTTTGCAAATGTAACAGCTAAGCCTGGCTTCTTTCTGTAGAGTTGCTATCAGACAAATAGAGAAATTAAAAACAACAAAGTCAAGCCCCACATAATCCCATTGCCATGAAAAACAAAAACAAAACCCCAAAGCATAACCTAATGGCAAAGGTTTTCATTCGAGAACCCAGCCAATCTTTTTTTTTTTTTTTTTTTTTTTTTTTTCTTTCTTTTTTCCTTCCCTGAGACAGGGAAGAAATCTTGGCTGTCCTGGAACTTGGCTCAGTAGATCAGGCTGGCCTGGAACTCAGAGATCCACCTGTCTCTGCCTCTGGAATTCTGGGATTAAAGGTGTGAGCCACCAACGCCTGGCTAAACCTCCCAAATCTTAACATTTCAAAGTGACCCTATGTTACACAGCAAAAGAAAACTCCAGTAAGAAATCCTATCCTGGTGGAACAAACCAACTAAAACCTTACATATATCCAAACTTGAGGATCTGTAGAGAGAAAAATGCAGGCAGGGATTGAGTCATAGTCAATGGATCCAGGTAGAACCTTATTTTTAGGGCAATTCCTTGGCAAGTGTGGGGGATGGAGGGGAGGAATTCTGACTCACCTAAATTAGTCTAAAACTACATTTTCCTCCTCAAGAGAATGAAATGTATACTTTGCTTAAGAACAAGAGACTTCATTCAGCATTTTGGGAGTACAAGCCCACAGCAGAACACAGTAACTGATACAGTAACTACCTTTAAAGAGACAGTTCTCCAAGCATACAATTACCACTAGAAAGTAAAAGTATCCTATGCAAAGACCTGATGCACATGCTGCTACAGAAGCTGACATGATCCTCACCGCAGCTGTGGGAAGTATTGGAAATTTTGTAAGAGACAGTTGAAGCTTAATTGCTTGGCCCAAGATCTTAAGTCAGAGAGACTCAGGTCTGATGGGAGCCGGCCATACTTTCCTTTTCATTCCTATATAGCTGCTTCCACAACTGTAACAAAGCCCTTCCCATAAGTACTTCTTAGTAGCTCTCCAGGAATTTAAGTAGCTTTCTCCCCCTTTTCAATGATAGAAGGGGTAATTTTTTTTTCCCTTACTGCAAATTTGGGAATTTAGACTGGTACTATTAAAAACAAACAAACAAACAAACAAAAAGTTACTTGTAATCTTACAACTCCCCAGTGGTCTTTTCATATTTTCCAAAGCTTATTATTTTCTATATATACATGTATGGAAATACACATAAGTATGTGTATAAACATACACAATGCATGTATATACTGTCTTCTTATAAATATTTTTATGTGTATGAGTGTTTTGCCTGCATGTGTGTTTGTGCACCATGTGTCTGGTGTCCATAGAAACTAGAGAAGGAGCCAAGCATGATGATGCACGCCTTTAATCCCAGCACTTAGGAAGCAGAGGCAGGCAGATCTCTGTGAGCTTGAAGCCTGCCTTGTTTACAGAGCGAGTTCCAGAACAGCCAGGGCTACAAAGAGAAACCCTGTTCCCTCCCCCCCCAAAAAAAAAGAAAGAAAAGAAACTAGAGGAGGATCTAAGATCCCCTGAACTGGAGTTACAGACAGTTTTGAGCCTCAACAGGGTGTTAGGTATCAAACTGGGTCCTCTGGAAGAGCTGCCATCTCTCTAGACCCAATATTACCTTCTTAGCATCAAAAAAAAAAAAAAAAAAAAAAAAAAAAGAGAATGAAGTAATACTGGTATTTCTCATGTGATAGTCAATGAAAACAAAATATTTTAGAGTAATAAGTACTTGTGATAGTTTTTTTGGGGGGGCATTATTTTGTTTTTCAAGACAGGGTTTCTCTGTATAGCCTTGGCTATCTTAATTTACAGAGATCTGCCAGCCTCTGCCTCCTGAGTACTGGGACGAAAGGCGTGCACCAGCACTGCCCAGCTGTAATAATTAATGTTGATTGTCAACTGGATTGAGTTGAGCTAGGTTAGATAAGTTAAAACTCTGAATATGTGACATATTCTACAGAGGTGGTTAACTCAGGAGGACAGAGCAATACTGAGTGTGGTGGCACCATTTCCACAGGACCAGGACAGGAAGGAAGGCAAGAATGTCTATGACAGTCATCCTTCTTCTGCTTCCTGGATGCTGAGGTGAGCAGTTCTGCTTCATATGCCCTGCACGGTGATGCTCTGATTCAACACGGATCCATAAACCATGAAGCCAGGCAAACATGCGTCATGACTTCCGAAACCCAAGAGCCCAAACAAGCCCCTCCTCCCTTTTGACCATTTCTCTTGGGCATTTGACACAGAAACACAAAGCTAACACAATAATTCTCAGAAACAATTTCAATATTGATTTTCTCTAACCTTGTGTTTTACAAATCTCTAGCAGGACAAGTCCTACAAGTCCTCTTTAATTCTAACCAGGCAAACATTTCTCAAGCTAATTTAAACCAAAAGATCTCAGCATCTCATAGCCAGCAAGCGCTCTGGGAAACCCTGCTGCAATTCTGAAGCCTGTTTTACCCTCCTTATTACATGGTATCTGTCTCCCATGCTGCAAGATATTCTCCACTCCAATGGTTTTCAATGGCTCAATAATCTAATTATTATAATTTATCTTAATTTTTAGCCTGCTTTGTTGCTAGCTCATTCTACATTCTTTTTACTCTGACAAGTATCTGAGAACAGAATTACAGCTTCTGAGCATATTTGCAAGGACTCTGATATGTATTGCCCTGCAGGGATGGAGACTGGTCTGTTCACCAAGCTGTAGTAGCCAACAGCTTCAATTAAGATTGCTTTGTGTTTTGAAAGGGGAGACTGAACATCCATCCCCAGCCATATTTCTGTGCACTGTATTGTTTTATAAACTGGCATCTGTTAGGTCTGTTTCTCTCATTAGACAAACTGCATAGAACTTAGCAGAAGAGAGTTAACATGGAGTGATGGGAGATGTCATTCTGTAAATACGTTTCTCTTATTGTTTAATGAATAAAGCACTGTTGGCAAATAGGAAGGCAAGATAGGTGGGACTCTAGGAGACAAGGAGGATTCTGGGAGATGTAGTAGGGAAGGGAGTCAAGATGTAGGGACTTGAGTGGAAGAGGTCCAGACCCTCTCTCCAGTAAGATAAGACCACATGGAACTACTTACATTGATAGAAATGGGTTAATATTTAAGACAGAGCTAGCCCATAAGAAATGCTAGTAACAGGTCAGCCGCTTTATATCTACACAGTGTCTCTGTGTATTATTTGGGGCTGACATTGCTGTAGGACCAGGCTGGGGGGAAAACTGCTAGTAACAGTGGAGATTCAGAGTCATAACAATGGTACTTATACAACTACTGGATGTTTAGAATTTGCCAGTTCTAAGAACTCAACTACTGACCTATGTATGACCTGGACAGTTTCAGCACTTAACAATCTAAAGGAAGCTATTGAACCAACTCTAAATACCTGTTGGCTTTTACAGACTATGAGTACATTCCAGAAATGAACCCATTATTCATTGCAGGTTCTGGTCTGATGCTGGCAGAAAAAAGCACACAAGCCAGTCACATTTATCTAAATGACATTTTTCTTCTGATTAACTATGTGGAAGTAAAATCCAATTAAGCGAATATGAACCAGCACCTCTAGCCTCTAGGTAAGAAGATAGATATGTTTTCAAATAACAGAAATGTAAATGCAATGAACCTGAGTTCTAGCAGACAAACACAGACCCAGCTTAAGGTGTTATTTATCATAAGATTTTACATGTATCTCAGTAGTAATGACTTATAATAAACTATCAATGTTTAGGCCCTACAGTGCACCACCCTCATCCTACCAGCTCTGAACGTAAGGAGAAATGACGAGGATGTTGGCTGAAAGAAGCTGCTAAGGAGCAGAAGGATCTAGGTGATGATCACATCTCCTGCTGAGTCCCTTGAGCTGAAGAGCTGGCCTTCTTTAGCGCATACAGGTAGCTGGACAGAGACAGGGCTTTGCAGTGTAAATGCTTTGCATCGGCTTCCTGGCATTAGGGTGCTCTGATCACCTTGGGCACCACACTCTTCTTCCTCAGTCAGGGTGGCATGATTTGGGTTCCACCAGAAATCAAGGCCAGGCCCAGCATAGCAAATGAGAGCCACCAGCAGCAGGAGCAGAGAAAGCTGAGAGCCTCAGGATGGGGGGAGGATGGTAACAAAAGACAGGGAAAGGTAAGGTGGGGAGAGGAGATGAGGTGACCCTGGCTAAAGATAGCAAAGTGCAACTAGAGTCTGTCAGGGAGGTGATGTTAAGATAACCTGCTGCCTGCACTCCATAGCCACCACTCAGCTGTCCCCTCCATGAATGCAGGAATCATGTCTTATTAACCACAAAGAGCTGAAGGTCAGCACTGTAGCTGTCGCACAGTAGGTGCTCAATAAAAACACTGCAGTGTTGGGAGCTGTTGCTTTACAAAAGAGTAGATGCTAGTGTTGAGCTTGGGTCAGCAATCCTTATTGCTTGGAAGGCTAGGGACGGGTTACAGAGTGAGCTCAAGGATGGACTAGAAAACTTAATGAGGCCAGATGATGGTGACGCACACCTTTAATCCCAGTACGGGGGAGGCAGATGCAGGCGGATCTCTGTGAGTTCGAGACCAGCCTGGTCTACAAGAGCTAGTTCCAGGAACGCTTCCAAAGCCACAGAGACACCCTATCTCAAAAAACAAAAAAAAAAAAACAAAAACAAAAACAAAAACAAACAAACAAAAAAAAGATTAAGGGTACTTGTTGATATTGCAGAGGACCTTGGGTCAATTCCCATAATCATTTGTAATTCTATTTCTGGGGAATTCAACATTCAACTCCCCACTTCTGATCTACACTGGCACCAGGCTGTGGATATATATGTGGTGCAGACATATATACAGGAGAAACACTCAAAAACAAAATAAATCTGAAAGAATGAATGAACAAACAAATAAGTTGGAGATGTAGTTGAGTGGCAGAGCACTTCACAACGGTTTAATCCTTAGTATTGTACAAGAAACAAAAAACAAATAAACAAAAAACAAAACAAAACAAAAAGAAACAAAAATAAAA